ACTGCAGAAGTTGGTATACATCTTCAATTTCCTCATTGTTTACAGTTTGCATTTTATTTTTGATTTAAGTGAAAGTTTACAGAGCACATTCATTTTCCATACAACAGCTCCTTCGCATTTTGTTTCAAGACACTGGCTGCAATCCCCATAACGAAACAGTCCTCTTCCCACTTCCTCCTGGTGGTTACCTTTTCCCTGTGTCCTTCTTTCCTATGCATTCCTGCCCTCTGAGCTATCTCCCTATGCAAATGCTGCCCTTCTGATCTCTCATGATGGACTGTTCTAAGGAGCGTATCGACCTGGTGTAAAAGTATACTTTATATACTTGCCTACTGTTTGTCTGAAAGCCACCAGAGAGAGTTCAATTACAGGCCTGAAGGATGACTAGGGGCCATGGCGTCAGGTGTTTCAACAGTGTATCAGACAAGTAAGCACGATCTTTTATATGATTTTGAGTTTTGTTCCATATTTTTCTCCCACTCTATCCAGGATCCCCTATTTTGATCCCTTTCAGTTTACATTTTTTATGTGATAAAAATATCATGTGGTATATGGAAAATAAAAGTAGATCTATCAATAGCTTTCTAAGTGGTCTCCCTGTCTCCAGTCTCTTCCTCCTCTTGTTCATCCTCAACACTATACTGGAATGAATTTTTTTAGAGCAGTAATCCAAACTTTTCATTCCCCAGCTTAAAAAGTTTTCTTCCAAACTCCTTAGAATTGGGGTTCAAGTCTTCACAATCTTGTTCCATTCTCTCCCTCAATTTCAAAATACCAACTTTCATCAGCCTCCCCCTCTACTCCAAAAGAACAAAAATTTTTTTTCTAAAATCAGTCAATGTTGTACATCTCTGAGCCTCTAATCATGCCATTTCCTCTACTTAGAATGACCTCCATACCACCAGCAAATACTAATTCATCCTTCAAAATCCCAGCTGTTTTGGTTACCTGCCACTCTGTGGTAGTTAAGGTTGTGTGTTAACTTGGCTGGTTGAGTGGCTGGGCAGCTGGTGGTTGTTATTCCCCATGATGAGACTGGCAATCAACTCCATGGTGGGATCTACCACAAGCAGTTGAGTAGCTGCTTTAGAACGGGGTCTGCTTCCCATATATAAGAACCAGTTTGGGGAATGGTCTCTAGCTTACAGTACACTTGAATCCCTCATGTAACCATGTCATTGTTCAGCAGCCTGCCATGCTCTGCCAACCTTAGGACTTTCAATGGACTTGAATCAATGGCCTGCTGTGTTGTTTGGTAACACTGGGACTGTGCCTTTTCACTTGTCAACCTTGGGTTTGTCAGCCTCAGCAGCGAGCAGCTGTCTGAGCGAAAAGCCCCCAGCTTCAGTGGGCCTGGAGCAGGAGGCAGAGCTGAAGCCCAAGGTCTAGAGGCTTTCACCCAGCCCCTAGGGCATGGCACTTTGAACTCAGATCCAAAGCCTTCAAACTGTAAGAGAATAAACTCCTGTT